AAAGCTTTTTGTTGTACATTATAACGTTGTCCCTACAAAATATGAAACATTTTAAAAAAATAAATAATATTATGTAATATTTATTACAAAAATTTATATATAATAAATATTTTAAATAATATATATTGTATAATGAGAAATAATGTTTATTGTTTTATATGTATTAAAATTATTGTATATCGTATCTGTTTTATAAAATAACTTTACACTACAGAAAAAATATTTTATAGATATTCTTTTGACTTTTTTATTTTCTACATCAAGATTGTAATTTACAATTATAACATATAACAATAAGAAATACAAAAATGACAGAAACATATAATCAATACAATGCTATTTAAATTAAGTTCTTCCCAGACTGTATTACTGCATCACCTTCTTAATTAAAGCAAACTGAAAAAGAGAAAATAAATTATGTATACAGCACGTAGCATTAAAATACTATATAATAAATTAAACTATCAATGTAGGTATTATTATTTATTTATTTTCATATTTATTAATTTATTTATATATCCTACCTTGTATTCACAATTGTTAAGCGCTAAGAATAAAATAGGTATAGTTTCTTTTTCCCTAATAATACTGAATCTTCTGTTCTTTTCCATTCTTCCAATATTGTATCCTTTATTTTAAGATCTGTCATCTGAATTCAATAATTAGTCTTAGTTTAACATTTTTAATTAAAAAGTTGAATTAGTTTAACTCGTTTAACTAGTTAAACTTAATATTAAGTTTAGAAGTTTAGAAACATGCAAGTTCAAAAGAATTTAAAGAATTTTTTAAAAACTTACCTTGAAAAATAATCTGTTCAGTTTTTTTAAATGAAAATTTCCCTTACAAAATAATTCTACATGCATACCACAAATGCATTTATGAAAGCGCATTATTTGCAAAATCATCAGGGAGTTAAAAATTAAAAATAGATAAATAGTTTATAAGCACATGGCGACACGTAGTAAAAATAAAGAAATAGATAAATAGTTTATAGACATATGTCGACACATAACATTTCAGAGACAAATACCTCCCCATACAGATACCCATAGATACGTAGCAATTAATCGACATTAAAACATTAATAATATAAAATCAGCAGTCATGTATGTCACTTTTTTGTAATAACCGATAGATTCCACGTATGAAACATATACTTATTATATAATTAATATGTTAATAACACAAATAATATTAAAATATAAAAAATATATCCAAGTAACAAGATGACGCCAAATGACGTTTCAATAACGTCTTATTGACGTTGGAGACATTATAATTAAGACGTCTTTTGACGTTATTAAGACATCACCTTGCACATGAGTATACATCAATAAAAATATTGAACAAATTGAATAAAAAGGAAAGAAACAAGACAGTACAAAAATCACGAAACATCACAACAAAAAAATGTTAAAAAAATACCTTTGGTTCACGTTTCAGATTTTTTTCAATTATGTCAAAAAATATTTTTTGAGACTTTGTTAAGTCTGCAGTGATAATGCTCCATTTATTACCACGATATAAATTCTTCTTTTGTTTTAGTATGTCAATGATTTTCTTCTTTTTATAAATACATTTCTTTAATCTTCTTGTCTTTATTTGTGATTGTAATACTTTCTGTTCTTGTTGGCTTTTTTGTTCTTTGACTTCTTTGTCCTTAGATTTCTCTATCGATATAAAATTAGAATAGCGCTCTACATTTTCCACTGCTTCATTATTGACGCTGCTGGTACTGGCACTGATGTATGGCATAATGCTATTATTAGTACTATCCAAATTGATGTCTGAATTAATGTTATTATTAGTATAACTGTCCAAATTGATGTTTGTATTAATATCTTCTATGTCATTACTTAGATGCATAGATGGAATAGCATCATTTTTTAATATGCGTCTTTTTGTGTGAGCAAAAATCATATGCTCTGGAAAATGTAGAGTACAGATTCGTAATTCTTTCAATACTTTTTCCGATGCATCTGTAAAAAAAATTATATAGACATTAAATATCATATACGCACAAACAAGTATATGCTTATTTACAAAAGTATACATTATTTTTACACATTACCTATCAAATCAGTTCTTCCAATTGTTCTAAGCCATTGTTTTGCTTTATGATCATCTCGTGGAAGTCGATGTACAGGTATATCCTTTTTTGAGATGCATTTGGGCACACAGCATCTACGTACCATCTTGATACTATAAAATACTAATAATAAAACTATTTAGATACTAAATATTTATATAAATTTTATTATAAATACAATGACTTAAAAATTTTTATTTAGCAAAAATATATATTTAGTAAAACATATTTACTAAAAAAACTAATATTTTACTTGTTAATATTATAAATAGATAATGTAACAATGGATAATATATGTATATATATAAATAAATAATATTATAATAGCTTCGACTAGCCTGGACTAACCTTTCAAGCACTTCATATCACTTTATATGCA